CTTTAATGGCTATTTTCGATCCACAAAAGGGTATTCCGCAATTTTCTGCAAATCGATTAAGGCGATGGGCAGTAATTTTGTCAAATTATCAATACAAAATTCAATATGTTAAATCTGAAAATCCCGCTGATTTTTATCTCGTTTACCGATCGAAGATAGCAAGATTTGGCAGTCAGTAGAAGTTGACTATATAAACTATTTTAAGGACAATATAATTCATTAATATTAGAACCAATAAAATGTCAGTATTCCATAGTGACGTATTTTATCACAGCGGCAATATTTTTTATCATCTTGTTTACACGTTACTAAGAATTTTGACGTTTTTTTGATTTGACATTTGTTGTCATTTCAATTCTGTTTTTGATATATATCAATAAAATAATGAATTATAAACTCTAAAAGATCGATGGGTTGGTGTAAACGATAATGAAATTAAGGTAAGTTTGAATAAATAAGGTTTATTAAAGTCTTTTTATATTTTAAAGCACATTTTAATTTCAAATGTCAAACTAAAAATTCGTTAAATCCTAAAATTCATTATATTTTCTCACTAAATATAACTCGTGGTATGATTAATTATCGATGATATTTACTCATTAAAACCGAAGCAGCACATTTCACTCGTCCTGCGGACTCGTGAAATCTGCAGCTCGGTTTCAATTCGAAAATATCATCGATGATAATCATACCACTTGTTATATTATGGGTGATAATAATTTAATAAATTTAAATTTTGATTATTTAAAACAAAAAATCTTAGCTGACGAAAAAATTTGCAAATTATATTTATATATTTTATAGAGTTCATATTGACTATTTGGGCCCTTTTCAAAATTTTTATTTTCTAGTTGTTTTGGATTCGCATTCTAAGTGGATTGAAGTGTTTCCAACTAAAGTAATAACTTCAAATTTTACCATTAAAGCGCTTCATTCGTTGTTTTGTCGTTTTGGTATACCTAAATATATAGTTTCAGATAATGCTAGAAATTTTACCAGTGCAGAATTTAAAGAGTTTTTAGAAAAGCATAATATTAATCAAATAACGTCTGCGCCGTTCAATCCACAATCAAACGGAGCCGCAGAAAATGCAGTTAAAACAGTAAAGTACGCGTTAAAAAATGCACTTGGTAAAAAACTAAAAATTGATTTATTTACTGCGTTAAATAACTTTTTGTTTGACTACAGAGTTGCACCACACTCTACGACAGGCGTCTCTCCTTCATTTTTAATGTTTGGTCGAAACATTCGCACTAGGTTTGATTTATTAAAACCCGATATTTCTGTAAAACAAAAAATTAAAAATGAACAGGAAAAGCAAATAAAACATTTTGGGGGGAAAGAAAGATCTAACTTTATTATTGGTGAAAAAGTACGTGTCAAAGATTATAGGGTTACTAATAGAGTTACCTGGATTTCAGGTATTATAAAAAAAATAATAGAAAAATGTACATATATTGTTGATATTTCTGAGTTAAATTTATCTTGGAAGAGACATACAAACCAGATTTTAAAAACACAAGTTTTTTGTCATTTACCAGTAACCCAAAACAATTGTATTAATGCAGAATCTCCTACCACCTTAGCCGAAGACACTTGCACCACAGACAAGCCGTCAACCTCCACTACCTTAAATCAAACAGCTGATTCTCATTTGATTACTCAACGCCCTAAGCGAGAGGCTCGAAAGCCCGACAGGCTTGTTTATAAATAAATGTTTTATTAATTAAGTTAGTTATTAATTATCTAATTATTAAGTAAGGTTAGGGATTTTTTTTGTTATAGGTAGGTCAATTTTGCTATTATTTAAAAAATGTTATTTTTATTTAGTGAGGGGAGAATGTAATATATTCAGTATAAGCAATAAATTGTTATAGTTTTTTGTACGCACTTTTTATGGTAAGGAGTGCACAACAATTTAGTCGCATTCAGTTACATATGAACCATTGTATAGAACACATTTATTTTAATAATTAAACGGTTTAATTTTATGGGAAAACAATATTTGGTTTTATTCTCCAAGGAATAACAATTACCATTCAGGGAAATCAAATATTATCCAGTGAAAGTGTAACTTATTGGGGCCTGATTCTTGATAGTGGCACAAGATGGCTTGGTCAAATTGATAATATTTGTAGTAAAATAAATAAATCATACTTTGCTATACTAAATTTAAAAAATATACTTAACGAGGATCAATTGTTAAATGTTTATTATTCTTTAGTCTATAGTAATTTGTCATATAATTAGTGTTGTCACTGAAAAAAAACAGTCTTGTTTTTTTTCAAAAAAAAATGTTTTTTTTTGAAAAAAAACAGAGGACCTTGTTTTTTTTAAAAAAAAATGTTTTTTTTCAAAAAAATTGTCAAAAATACTCAAATTATATTAAGTGACAGGATATTCGAAATGTCACTGCTGAGGAAAGAATTTTTGGCACATTCTGTCACTAGAAGTATATTAAATACTAATTATAGTTTCTTATTTACCATTAGTAATATTCTTAAACAAATTGTTTAACGTTGTTGGCTTTCGCCCTGAGCCTTCTCTTTTCGGCATTTCTACCAACTATGCATCAACCTACTATAAAGCCGCAGGTCTTAACTCTTCTATTATAATATCGTATAGACTATACGATATGCTGAGTCAGCATTGCCGACAGCGAGGCGCCCTTTTACCATACGTGGGTGGGGATGAAAAAAAACAACTTTTGTTTTTTTTCAGTGAAAAAAAAACATGTTTTTTTTCACGTGTTTTTTTTCAACTGAAAAAAAACGTTTTTTTTACAACACTACATATAATATAATCATTGAGTAAAGACACACTTTACTCAATGATATAATATTATGGGGAGATTGAGTAGAAAGCGGGCGAATTTTCACTGCTCAAAAGAAAATCATTCGTTTAATTTTTGGTCTTAATTATGTTCAATCACGTAAAAAGACGTTTCAGCAGAAAAGAATTCTTACTTTTCCCTGTATGTATATATTTAAGTGCTTGTTATATATTAAGCAAAATATTCATAGGTCACAATTATTTAACTAGAAATCGAAATGAGCTGATTATACAAAAACACAAAACAAAAAAAACCGAAAGTTCTCCAGCATATGCTGGCATAAAACTATATAGAAAATTACCAGAACAAAAAACATTAAACTCTAACCTATTTCGACAAAAAGTTAAAATTTTGTTACAGGAAAATTCTTTTTACTCCGTTAAAGAATATTTAGACTATAAGTCATTGTAAACTGTGTTCTATTGTTTGTATTGGTAATGTTTTGAGTTTGTTTTATATATTCGCCTGATGTGATTTTTATTCGATATTTGTAGTACAAATATCGAGGTACAAATTTTGTACCTGATTTTTCTATCAAATGACTTTTACACCCATAGATGTATGGCAAAAGTATTAATAAAGCTAATATTATTATTATTATTATTATTATTATTATTATTAAACATCTCTAGGCACTCGTGCATAAAATGGCGTTTATAAAACTTGATACAAAATATACTATTATAATTATATATATACTGTTTCCTAAAATTTTAATTATTCTGTTTATTTTGTATTTAACCCTTTAGGACCTGACTTTTTCTTTTTGGTCAAAAAAAATATTTGATATTATTTTCCGTTATTTTCATGTCTTAATAAGTGATAAAAACAGCTTATATGAAATTTTTTAAACTTTTCGAAAAAAAAATTCAAAATTCAAAATTTTACACATATGTGACCATTGGGCTTTTAAGGAGTCAAATAAGGGTTTTGTTGAGATGATAAAAATATTTAAAATGTCCATGTTTTTTCCCGTTGAGACCTGTTGTGCACAAATGTGAACATGGATTAAAAACCCTTCAGACCTGATGTGCACATATGGGTACACCCGGTTTTTGGGTTTTTTTACGAGTTACATGCATTGACACACATTGCAAATATATTCAAATGGTAAACAAAGGTATTATTTCATTGCAAAAAAAACGGAGATTTATTCGATTTCAATTTTCATATAATAATTACAAAATTGTATCCCTTACCCGGCAGTTGGCCTTCCATCTTGGAATTTGAATTTAAATGAATGATTTCTCTACCAGCTTTGATAGATATGGTATAGATGGCTCCACAAAAATTTAAAAATATTGTACACAAACGTGTACAACGGGTCATAGGATGTCTTTTCAGTAAAAATGTATTTAAAAAAAAACATCAAACGGAGCGTACACAAATGTGACCAAAAGGTCCTAAAGGGTTAAGTACATTATTTTTTTTTACTATTTCAGGGATTATATTTACGTATGTACCAGGGGATTTATTTATAATTTAGATTATTTTTGACGTTTTTTTAAAACCAAGAGAAACTTTTAATACACACTCAAGCCCAGCAACAAGGTTTTCGAAAATCTGTCAAGTTACTGTAAATGTTTGCTCATTGTCTTATAATACTACTGGCATAAACGAAATAAAATATCAATATTAAAAAATGACTATTTAAAAAAAATATGGACTAACATGTGAGAAACAATATTTTCATTTGTGACGACTTTTAAAAAAATAATTTTACTTAGGAGCAATAATAATTATTATTATAATAAATTTTGTTAACTCACATATTGAAGTATTACTCATAATTTTTTTTATTAAAGAAAATCATTTATTTATCATGTTTAAAAACAGTTTTCTTATTTTATGTTCTTTTGTTGTTTGTTTCTGATAAAAAAAATTCAGTTATCTTTAAAAACTTAAAATAAACTTAGTACTCTGTACTTGTAATCGAGTATTTTTTTAAATTATTTGTACTTTTTACTTTGCACCAATACCTACCTACTTTTTACTTATACTCGAAGCAGCTCTATAAGTATAAACTTAATACTCTGTACTTGTACTTTGTACTTGTACCTACCTACTTTTTACTTATACTCGAAACAGCTCTATAATTATAAATATTTCTAACAAAATTTAGTTAAACAAACAGGTGTTTAAAAAGGTATAATAATATTTGTTTTAGGTATCACCACCGTTTTAACCATGACCACCATAAGCACAGGGGTTCGAAGTTCACTACCACGCATCAGCTACGTCAAGGCTATCGACATCTACCTGGTAATGTGTTTCGTATTCGTGTTCGCCGCCCTTCTCGAATACGCCGCCGTCAACTACACTTATTGGGGCGCGCGTGCCAAAAAAAAGAGCAAGAAAGCTAAGGAAACCGAAGAAAATAAATCTGGTAAGAAAAAAAATCACGTAAAATTGGAAAATCACCGGGTTTTTATTGATTCTAAAAAAGAATCTTTATAATAATCCTTATAATATGACTTGTTAGTAAGTCCCTTTAATTTGACAGAAAACTGTCAAAAATACATGTGACAAACATGTTAGCTTCAAATAGCTGCTAGATGCCTTATTTATTTTGTTTCCATTATAATCCTTCTTAAGGACAGATTTTTAAGCAATATGCTTTAATAAAAGTAGGTATATCTTATTTTTAGTATACCCTGTATACTGTTTTGGTAAAATGGGGTGGGGGTAAAATTAATGCCCAACAATTTGACATCTAATATCGGATCAATTAAACTATACAGTAGGGTGGACCGAAAATAAAAAAAAACTAGAAATTGGATAGAAAAGTTACCTTTTGGCAAAACAAAAATAATTTCTATTTACAGTTTTTTGTTTTTGTAACGTTTTTTACCCCCTTTTGATTTGGAATACCGCCCAATATTAGGAGATTGATAATTCAAAGATAATTTTTATTTGCAATTTTTATATGGTGATAAACCTTTTGCCCCCTACCGAGCATCAAAGTATTAAAAAAATCAGATTTTTAATTTTTTTTTCCAAAAAACAATTTTTTTATACATATATATCAATGGTATTTTTGTAACGTATCTTCAAAACCTTTATCTTTGCAAAAAACTGCTATCTTAAAACTATTTTTTTATTATTTATAAATATATATATATATATATATATATATATACATATATATATATATTGATAAACCTTTTGCCCCTACCGAGCATCAAAGTATTAAAAAAATCTTATTTTTTAAACATTGTGCATAAAAACTATTTTTTTTTTTTATATTTTAATGGTATTTTTGTAGTGTATCTTTACAACGTTTATCTTTGCAAAAAACTGCCATCTTTAGTTTTAAATTAAAACAATATTTGGCTTTGTTCCTTCCATAATACGACGCGCAGTACACCAATTGGTGCCAAAAGCCTTTGTGAATGTATTGTTAATTTTTTTATTAAAATTATTACAAATTGGAAAATTTTGACGGTTTATGATGTGACGGCAGAGTCGTCAATACGGATCAGAATACCTTTAACTGATTCAGAAATATAATGAAAAAACTGAAACAATCAAATTAAAAAATCCTCTATACCTTTTTTACTATTGCAGCTTATCAATTTGAAACAGCATTTGTTTTTTTGTAGGCCCACTATTTTTTGACTTATCATGGCCAACTTTTATTTTTCTTTTGGGCGCCATATTGGAATTTTTCATAAAAAATAGGACAATTTTTTCTCTTTACCACGATGTAACACTTTTATCATTTATATTGGATGATTATTGAAAAAAATATAAAAGTGAAAATTTCACTTAAAAATAAGTTGCCTTGCTTTTTAAATATTTGTGTTTGTCAATACAGATGAAAAACTTAAATATTATTATTAAACAACAGCAAAACAAAGCACAAAATAAGCAACAGCAAAAACAGTTGTTGCCTAAAAAAATGGGCTAGGAATTATTTTGATTATATATTTTTGAAAAACAGCGAATATTAAAGTTTGAAAGGTTTTTCAACAACCAAATTATGAGCTGCATTTTGAGCTGATATAATGTATTGTTTTGTATGGATAGATATTCTGTTATGGAAAAACGAGGTTTATGTCAGAAAAAAATAAAATTCAGTTTAATACTACATTCAACACTGACATCAATTGTGACCGTAAAAGCCCGATCGAACAATGTTTCTGAAAATTTATCGGAACATGGGACAATTTGGCAGTGTAGAAAGACCCAGACAGATTTGTGTATCAAGCACGACAGGAACAAGTCAATGAAATTTACACCAGTTGTTTTTGATCCTGAAATTTTAACTAGACAAATTGCAAGAGATGTGGACATAAATACCACGACTATAAGTTTCAAAAATTACACATAAATAAAGAACGAAGAATGGAATTCTGTAGGTGGTTTCAAGAAAAGGTAGCAGTAGAAAGAGGTAGGCCAGGAAAATTTTTTGGAGTGACGAAACCACTTTAACTAATAGCGGAATTTTAAATAGAAAGAACAAACATTTTATGCAATAGAAAATCCGAATTTGGTACAAAGTAGATTTTACTAAAATATCTGGTGCGGTATCCTATAGGACTACTTTTCATTCAGGGACATCTTAATGCCGAAAAGTATTTAGATTTTGTTTGCAAAACCAAATAGAAGAAGCGCTTGAAACTCTTCCTTTTAATTATATGAGAAATGTAAGAGGGTTTCAGTAGAATGATTTAATATTTACATCGCCGTTTTCCAAATAAACTGCGCACCACTCAATCTGTCGAGACCAAAAAGTACGTCCTTTTTCAAAACGACATTACTTTTTTGTTTCTTAAACGATTTTATTTTGGTCTGTAATGTCTACTAGCCCCATCCTCTGGCAATTCATGCTATAGATATAAAGCTCACGGTTCTTCAAGTAAATTTCGTATATGTAAAACGGTGAAAAGTTTCATCCAACCCCCGTTTAAAAAAAGAAATATTTTTTTCTCGTTTTAACTTTGAAATAATGAAGTATTATGTCTTACCTTGAAAAGGTTTTCAAATTTTTCGAATTGGAATCTTAGCTACGAAAATATGATTTTTTTTTCAAAGAGTACATTTAAGGGTTTTTGGTAGGCAATACACTCAGTCTTTTTAAGAACAAGAAGATAAAATGGCGAAAGATTGTTCCTTGAATAATTCTGAACAAGCAACAAACTTCCATTATTTTCATAGGGGCCTAAGCTAAGACCACTTTTTCAAAATGACATTTTGGTGAAAATTTGCGAAAAATAAACCTGAACCGATATTTCGTGACATGTTTTCTTTATAATTTTGACCTCCTGATTGTGATTCAGTTGTCAAATTTAAGTTTCAGATAAAACCAAAGTCACCAAGAATCAAAATTCGAAAACAATTCCCGACTGATAAAATTCTTAATAAAATCCGATTGCTGGCGTGTTTATTGCATATTTATGATTTTAATGCAATTTGGGGATTAATTTTTTGGGCGAAATTACTGCACTTTGTTTGAGTGGTTAGGATAATGTTACATAAGTTACATTTACATTGCGCACTAGTTATAACTTATCACTGATAAGTACCTATCTAATTGGTAATAAAGTTAAATAAAAAATGGTTGTTCATTTTGGAAAATTTTATGCGAAAAAATGTAACAAAAAATAACAAAAATAACTTTCAATATTTCGTTGGCCCTTTTATAAATTCCTGGGGTATTCCATTCTTCCTGAATAGCATTTACCAATTCATCCAAATTTTCCATGCGTCCTTCCCTCTCTTTCATCTTCAGTTTCATCCTGCTTCACACATGCTCAATATGATTCATATCCGGAGACAAAGGTGGACAATTTATTCTCTGAATATGGTGGTCCCTTAAATACTCATTTACGACATTGGCGCGATGCGGACGGGCATTGTCGTCCACCAACACCAATTATTGGCAACATTTTGAGCATAAGGGACCACGATATCACTAACAACCAAATCTCTATATCTGTCAGCATTCACTCTTTCCATTCATCGCCATTCCACCCCAAAATATCAAGAATATCCCTCATAATGCGTTTTAAATGTTTTTCAAGAACTACCGTAAAATGGGGTGAATGGGAACACTTTTTGACATTTGATCAATCACAGCGGCCGTATAGTAATTTTTTTAAAGACCGTTTTGGGCCTAAAAGTCCTATGGGGTGCTGGGCTACCTATAACCAAAATTTGAAAATAATAGATTTTTCCAAAATATATATTTTTTATTTTAATGTGCTTTGTTCCTATTGCCCCGGTATCAGTCGATATAGGAACACCAATGTTATTTTCCCTTGTATGCCGATTTAACGCGTTAAAGGTGTAATAGGAACACAATATATTTTTTTTAAAAGCGGCGAAAAATTCATATAATGTGATTCAGACCTTGGGTGGGAAGAAAAAGACCAATATGTAACTCAAAAATGTTTTCTTTTATTATTTATAAAACGTATAAAATATATAAAAATAAATAAAATACATATTCTAAAAATCAACATAATAAAAAAAAACCTTTAAAAGTGTCTAAATTTCAAAATTTTCCCTGTTCCGATTCACCCAAATGCGGTTCAATTTTGCGCATTTTGAATTTATAAAATTATTAGGAAAAAGTGGAACACATTTTCAACAATTTGACTTTTTTATATTTTAAATGAATAACTAAGAAAACAATCACGAAAGTTTCAGCTTATTTCACTTATCCCTTTTACGTTTTCCAGATGAAGCTTTTCGGAGCACCCATACGATAACAAAACTTGCTCACAATTTGAGGTGAGCCCATAATGACAGCTACACTGTTACCAATTTTTCAATGCTACCAACTAGCAAACACAACATTCCTGTACATGAAAACCCACAAAAGTTTTTGATTTGTCAATTTAAATTAACGTAAGAAATGTTTGAAAACTTTCTCCCACTTTTGTCCCGATTTCCCCTTTAGTTCCCATTCACCCCATTTTACGGTACTTTTCATTTGATCCTCGATTTAATTATTCAGCGACATGATAATATCGTAATAAAGATGCAAAGCACGGTAAAAAAAATAGTAAAACCAGCAATCGTATTTTATTAAGGCATTTAACAGCCGGAAATTGTTTTCGAATCTTGATTCTTGGTGATTTTGGTTTTATCTGAAATTTAAATTTGATAACTGAATAACAATCAGGAGGTCAAAATTATGAATAAAAAATCTCACAAACGTAAATATTGGTTTAAGTTTGGTTTTCTAAAATTTTCACCAAAATGTTATTTTGAAAAAGTGGTATTTGCTTAGGCCCTCTGAAAATAATGGAAGTTTGTTGCTTGTCGCTTGTTTAGAATTATTTAAGGAACATTATTTCACCATCTTATCTTCTTGTTTCTAAAAAGACTGAGTGTATTGCCTACAAAAAAGCCTTAAATGTATACATTTACTCTTTA